AGAGTGGAGGAGAAAGGGCATGGGGAAAGGGACAGGTGAAATGCAATGGAAGGGCATGGAGGAAAGGGAGCATGGGGAGAACAGGAAGGGGCATGTGGAGCAGTGGGGGTGCATCTCTGTTCCCAACCCCAAGCAGGGCTGGAGGTTGGATCTGAAACTGCTGCTCCTGCCTCACCTGGCCAGGTATGCCATACCCCTGGCAGACAGCCAGATCTGGGGTGTGGGGGAAGGGAAACAGGCACAAGAGGAGAACAAGTGGCAGGAGGGAGAGGGCACTGGAGTGGGGGCAGGTGGTAGGTGGGAAGACACATTGGCAAGGGCGGGGGGGGGGAAGTGACAAGAAGCATGGGGCAGACTGCCTGTCCCCACAGCTACTGCTTTCTCTGTTATTACTTTCCCTGCAACACTGGTGTTGGTGGGGGTGAATTTAAGACAACCCTCCAATAACTGCATTCTAGACATGGAAAGTTCAAACAAATTTATAATTTTCCGTGTCTAGAATCTAAGAATTGGGGGGCCATCTTAAATTCAGAGTCATCTTTGATTTGGGTAAATACAGTAGGTTTTAGCATCATCAGAAGTGTATGAAAAGAAAAAAATATATTGTTATTCCCTGGCCAATAAGAGAAATACTATTTTAATTTACGTTAAGAATAAATCAAAACCTCAGCTGCAAACATCCTCTGAATTTTGAAGACAAATGAATTTAGACTGGGATCCAGATCTACAAATTACAGCTGGTTCCACTGGGTCAGACCAATGCATCAGATGTAAAATGTCCCCAGCTGTTTTTGGGGCAGGAAACAGCTGTCACCTGGGAGCACTACACAAGAATCAAAAGTACAAACCTTTAGTTCTGTTTACATCATCAAATCTTAATATCTTAAATTTAATTTAAACTGAATTTGTCTTTAAATTTATAATATGTTTCTTACTACATCAAACGGTCTAAGTAAAATGAAAGAAGGAAGAACAGGAAGGGCTTATATTGTACCAGAATGACATGGTCCTCTGGAGCATGAATAATCCAGTGACACTGTGCCAGGTTACTGTAGGGTTCAGGATAGTGCATGCTTTGTATCACTCCTGCTTTAAAGAGGACAGCTAAGGACCCACAGCCAGAATCTGGAAGCACACACAAGGAAAAATCAAAAGGAAGCAAACACTTTCCTTGATCTATGTACAAAGGGAATTTGCTGCCCTTAGATCCTACCAGTCCCAGTGGAAAAGAAATGCCACCCACTAGTGTAACAACCTTCTCCTAAATCAGCAAAGAGCAGTCTGTAGGCACAAGGGTCTGCATTGAGGGCCAGAAGATTGCATGTCTTCTTTGGAGATCAGAGCAGAATGATAACCCAGCCAGGGGATAGAATCCTGCTGATAGTCTGGGGTGGCAGTTCCCTTAAATTGAGGGTGACTGGAGCAACTGCAAGCTCTGCAGTAAAGCATCACCATCCACACATGCACCCCTATTAGGCAGGAGTAAACTAATTAACTCTGCTGCAGGATAGTACTGCCCAACACAAGTACTATCCTATGGCAGAGTTATTTACCCTACTACAACACACATGTAGACAGTGACCGGGGTTGGCTGGGGCACTAGGATGCTACAGTGTGGAGACTGTCTGCTAGATAGCCTTGCACTGTAAGCACCCTTGTGCCCCTGCCAGTCCCTCCACAGCACATTGAGCAGGGGCTACTCCGACCAAGCTCAATATGCTGCAGTCTTGGGCATGTGTAAATGTTGCATATAGGAGCAATAAACTCTGGTACAAACTGCACCCACTTTCTCCTTTTTTAAGCCCCAAACCAGGCCTCAGCATGAACTCAAAGTCAGCCATCACTTCCTCAACACACATGCCTAGCAGCACAAGTACAGAACAGCTAACATCAGGTGGGCACTGACTTGGTACAATGAACTGACAAGGAATGTTTAATACTACACTAACACTTACCAGGAAGAGCATCTGGTGAAACTGCTTTGTATGTTATGGAAAATCCAGCTCCATACTCCTTATTATCAGAGACAAATTTCAGCCTCACACTATTGTAGCCCACTAAAATGGGCGATGGAGGATCATCACCGCAGAATTTCCCTGCAATTAGAAAATTACAATAATTTAAAAACTCAAGAAAGTTCTTTGAGAAAATGTATCCAGGGTTAAATACTAAAAGACTCAGCCACAGTAGCTGGTTGTAAATTGCCAAGAATATGAATAGAATTAGAATTCTTATAGGCTCTTAGTTTATTGGCTGCCTGCCTTCTTTCCACTATTTAAAATAAAATGGAGGAAAATCATGTAGTGACAGGTTGCTAATAAGACAGACTGACTTCCTGTGATTAGCTGGGCTAATCATGGTTATGTATGTACTCCTATTCTGGATATGCAAGTGTGTATAAAGCCATAAAAATGTAACTGGCCAGAAACTCACAACTAATGGGTATTCAATAGAAATGGCAGGTTGTCCCATGTTTTAGCCCTAATAGCTGAGTAGTTAAGGCACTTAGCAAGGAAGCAAGATACCTGGGTTTCAAGGAACACCCCCCTGCCCTGCCCTTCCCCTCCCCCCCTCAAGGGTTTTGAACCTGTTTCTAAGTTCTTAGCACAGTACTTTAACCACCACACCACCATTATCCACTCCTTTCTCCAGTGCTCCTTTTGAAGATGGCCCCTGGGCAGCCAAGAGCAGGTAATATGTAGGGTCAGGACAAAGAATATTAAAGCAGCGTACCCCTGGCGGTTGGATGCGGAGCTGTGTATCCCTGGCGGCCAGACATGGAAGGAGGGGGGGCGCAGCTAAACGCGGACCGGCAGCAGCTGCCGTGCGGGAGCTTCCACCTCATCCCGAGTCCGTCCAGGTGGGCAGTGCCTGCGCAGCATGGTGTGTGGCAGTACTCCGTCCCCACCCACCCATGCATACCCCCCTAGGGCCCTCTTAAGTATCCCCAGGGGCATGTGTACCCCTGAACTAGAGGATATGCAGACCAGTGGGACTGCTACTGCCCTGAAGGAAAGGGGGCTCTGGGTTCTAGCCTGGACCTGTGTTCCCATTTGGACCAAATGTCCCCACTATGCTGCTTCCCCATCTATTTTATCCACTGACTCTTAAATGCAGGGGCCAGTGCCTAAAGTAGCTAGACAGAGGGCTGAACAATGCCTAATTTGTGGTGTGCTGGCTAGAGCACTTTGCTAGGATGTAGGAGAAATACAGGTTCAAATTCCCTCTGGGTGAGAGGACATATAGCCTAGATTCATAGATGTTAGGGTTGGAAGGGACCTCAATAGATCGAGTCCGACCCCCTGCATAAGCAGGAAAGAGTGCTGGGTCTAGATGACCCCAGCTAGATACTCATCTAACCTCCTCTTGAAGACCCCCAGGGTAGGGGAGAGCACCACCTCCCTTGGGAGCCCGTTCCAGACCCTGGCCACTCTAACTGTGAAGAAGTTCTTCCTAATGTCCAATCCAGATCTGCTCTCTGCTAGCTTGTGGCCATTATTTCTTGTAACCCCCGGGGGGTTTCTTGTAACCCCCGGGGGTTTCTTGTAAGATCAGATCTCCTGCTTTATAGAAGAGTGTCCTAACCATGCAGCTACTGGGGCTAAAAGATGAACAGGTTTTCCTCCCTCCCTATTTTTCCAGGAGTTGCGCTCAGCTACATGCAATGCATACCTAAGCAAAGAACGGACCATGGATGCTCAGTCTATGTATGTATGCTTGAGTGTCCACACTGCAGGGGTAAGTCAACTGCAAGCAGTGTGTAAGAGACAAAAACTGAACTTGCAGATAGTAAACTGCCATTTCAGCATGTGAAGTAAAGCAGAATTCTGTTCCAAGACTATGTCAGTTAAGTATTTCCATTAACTGGCAGTAGTAGTAAGCTGTTATGTAGCAATCAACATAATAGAAACAGAGATGGGCTGCAAAAGAACTTTGACAGTCCACTTTTTTGCTGAAACAACGGCCTATCCTGGCCAATATTGAGAGTTGAAGACTAGAAAGAATCTGTTGTTTCCTTGAGTCCCCTCATTTGTTTATGCTCATCTGCTGTCTCTTCTTTTAGACTATGACCTCTATGAGACAGGAACTTACTCTGTTCTGTTTGTGTACAACATCTACCACAGTGAAGTGCTGGTCCATAACTCGGATTTCTAGGCATTACCTTAATACCAGAACCACCATATATAACACGCAGAAATGGGTCATGTGTGATCAGTGGGTTACGCGTAATGAGACACAGCCCAAAACTAATGGATCCAGTTTAATTAAAACTTTAGAAATATTGATGGGCTTTCTAAAATATTTCATAGAATCAGTAAACAGCAACTCACCAACAAGCCTGTCATCTTTTGAATACACCAGCAGGGAATCATAGTCACAGAATGTGTCTGGCTCTACATCAAAGTGGGAAAAATTAAGAAGTATGTGCATTCCTTTTGGGACAAGAAGAGTCCACACACACAACCTGGAAAGACACATTGGGTAAGTTCCTGTTTACAAATCATACAATGGATTACAACTGCAAGAGTATTACAAGTCGTTTTGGAAAAAGGAATGTATTTCAGCTACTCACTGGTTGTTTTCATAGAAACGGTTGGGACTTTCAGGGAAACGTAATGACCCTTCATTGCCACGCAGTTTGCCATCCTGACTGCTACATGAGGCTGCATTGAGAGATTTGAAATGAAGCAACAGAAAGTTAGGTTGTATGGAACACTAGAAGTTCTTCTGATATCTAAGGGAGATTAGTTGTAAGATTTCCCTACCACATTTTTGTCATGAAATTGGTTTCATCTTCTGCCTTTCCTCCCCAGTTGTCTGAAAACAAGCCCATTTTAATGCATAGTGAGATCAGAAAACCCCCTGTTGAATTTAAATTCTTTCATAATGTTAGTTTAAAAGTGTAAGTGCTGTAATTTTTATAATGAACAAGATATCTGACCATTGAAGAATTGCATACAAATATGCACAGAGGAAGTGCAAACCAAAACATGTAAAATAATACTAACACTAAAATATGCCCAGTTTCTCTCTAATATTTTGATTCAGTGCTACAATAGGTGCGTCTCTCACAGCGGACTGGTACATCATTAGGCATATATTAAGTGATAATAATTTCATTTAAGAGCTCAAATAAACTCAAAAAACATTGTTACGGCTTGGGAGGGGCAGGGGGCTGTGGTTGGGGAGTGAGGGGCACTAGCAGAGCCAGGGGGCTCCTCACTTCAGACCTGCAGCCCCCTGGCTCTGCTAGTGCCCCTCACTCCCCAACCACAGCCCCCTGCCCCTCCCAAGCCCAACCAGAGGCGGCCCTCAGCTGCCAGGGCTAGGGGGCCAGGGCCCCTTGCTCCCTCCCCCCCAGCAGTGCCCAAGCCCTGGCTACTGCCCCTGGGAGGTGTGCCTGCCGCGCACCAAAGCGAAGTGTGGAACCCAGCTCCCCCTCTGCCATGGATGGCACCGCTGAAACCTGTCAGGAGAGTGGATGCAGGCTGGCCACTGTGGGCCTGGGGGTCTCCACAGCCTCCACAGCCCAGTAGGTGGGACCTGGCGTGGGAGAGCAGAGCACAGCAAGGAGGCTTGGTGTCACTGCCAGGAGCCCTGAGCCACCATGGCAAGGTGTCCCCTGCCCACCTAGGAGGCCCACCTCGGAGCCACCCCAGCCACTGCTGCTGGGTGGGCAGTCAGGGCCTCACTGTGGTGGCACAGGGCTCCTGGCAGTGGTACCGAGCCTCCCTGCACTAGTCTGCTGCACCGGGCAGGGCCAGGAGCCCAGAGCCTGCAGCAGCCAGTCCATATCCGCCCCTGCCCTGCACACAAATCTGGGGGGCAAGTGCCTGCCATGCCCCCCCCCAGAGTGTACAGAGTGGCAGGGAGCCAGCCCAACTGCTACCCCACAGATGAGCTGCTCACATCTCCCTGCCCGGGCCCTGTGGCCATGCATTCTCATCCCAGCCCTGGACCCCAAGCCTCAGGCCCCACAGATCACCCCAGCCTGGCAGTGCCCCCAGCCCCAGCCCTGCCCAACTCTCTCCCTCCCTCCCTCCCTCACTATGGGGGCCCATTTTCCACACTACAGACTTACCTATGGGAAGTTGCAGGAGCTGCTCTCCACATTGCCTGGCTGCCACATACATGTGTGCACGCAGACATACATATGGCACCCCCTGCCTGATCGCCCTCCTCCCACTCCCCCTGGCCCCTTGCAGGCTGGAACTCTGCCAGTGTGCAAGGGAAAACCCTTGGTTTCCTGTATTTTTCTCCTTTAAATGAGAAAATCAGCATTTTTCTCCTTAAAAACAGAAAATTCACATTTTTCTCCTTAAAATGAGAAAATCCATGTTTTTTCGGATTTTTCCACGGTGAATGGAAAAGCTGGATTCCTACACATAACCCATATTGGGCAAACACTGATGTGAAGCTTTGTTTTTTTGTGGCCCTTAAAAAAGGGCAGTTGCTTCCCCAGAGTGGAATAAGCACCTGATCTGGAGGCATTGCAATACTAGGCTAGCACTTGGAGAGACCAGAACAAGCTCCAACACCCTCCCTTGGTGCCACAAATGCTGATGGGAACTTCTTTGTTTTTTGTCAGTGTGAGATCCTTAAACAAATAGGCAGGCGTTCTTTCCACAGGGAACTGGCATTGGGCCTAGAATAACTGCAGTGTGATCTTAGACAAAAAGGCAGAAATGCTGATAGGAACCTTTTTCTTTTTTTTTTTTTTTTTTAGTAAACTTTTTTCTGTTCCAAGCCAAATTAGTCAAATCAATTCCAAATCCGTGGGTCATTCAAGAACCATATATGGCCCTACTACCAACAGACATCCTCCACCCCCACCTGGGGCTTCAGATGTTTCCAAATCATTTGGCAGGCATCCGACATGCAGGCCCAAGCCTGGGCGCTTGCAGTTCAGGTACCCCCAAGTTTCACTTGCCCTCACCCATACAGCCACAAGAGTGAACTAGGGAGCATCTCCTGTTTCCATAAAGTAGGCATAAAGCCAAGATCTTCCCACAGGCAATGAACATGGGAAGGTAATCATACATTACCTCCATGGGCACTACCCCCACACCAGAAAGGTGGTCCCTGGAAAAACCATCACTTTTTTTTTGTGCAAATATATACAACTCATACATACATATACACATATATATAAGGTGGTTATCCCCTGTCCTTGAAGTGAGGAACAAATTTGAATATCCCAATTTTATTTATATTTATAAACTCCACCTCCAACACTCTGCCAAGTGGCCCTTGTGGTTCACTTGGTAGCTCAAAGCCCACTAAAAACCCATTACACAGTTTGCACTGCACAACTGCACCCTGTCTCTATACCCGTATCCCCACCCACTGCCCTCCTCAGAGGGTCTACTCCTGAAAAAGTCTATGACAGACCCTTCTCCACCAGGTAAGGTCTGCCATTTCTTTCCTGTCATCCTCTTCTGTCTTCCTGTAGCACCACTACATTTCACTTAGTCCCACTTTTGGTGTCTACCTGCCATAAGTCCAGTATAACACATCTGAATAGAAGATATTCCCATTGCACTTAGTCCCCCTCACTACTGACTCTTTTTCAAGTCATGGTGAGCCACTACATTGAATATATTTCTACCTCCTCTTCACTCCCACAGCTGAGCTGTGCCTTTCTCTCATTTTCAGTGATTCCTATTTCTTCAACAGCCTTAAGTATCTGGCAAACATCATTAAATAGGGCCCCAAAAATTCATCCAGAAGCCCTCTGTTGTCCCCTCTTTCAGCCCATTGAAAACGATTAGTGTGCGACTGCCCTCCATGAGGTAGAGATGGACCAGGTTGCCCTGCACTTCATCTATATATAAATTTTTGGAGGACCCCAGGATTCATGACAAGAACATCCAATTCTAGTCATGGGTGGGAGACTAATTAGCACGTGGATTCTTTGTGGGGGGATATATGGAGTACATACTCACACACACACACACACTGAGCAGTGGGGTTACCATCACCTGAAACCCTGTTGAGTTAACTGGGGCCCAGCCCAATGAAATATGTGGCAAGTTATAAGCCTTTTGGTTTTGGACTAATATCATGCATAGTTTTGTATATGTTAAGGTGTATATGATGTCAGTTATCATGTTTTGTATTATGTAATCCTTGAAAATTTTATGTTGTATCTTCTTTTGTGAGGCTTCCGCTGGGGTCATTTTAGACTGTCTGGCTTTGTTTGTTTTCTAATAAAATGTTATAAAAAGAAAAAATTTATACTATAGCAGAGGTTCCCACAATGTTTCTTGTTGCATACCTGCATTTACCAACTACCTGCATACCCCTACCAGCATACATTTTATATTTTAATCCCTTAAATGCCAACTATTATTATAATGAAAATTAAATCTGCCATTACACAATTTCTCCCATGTACCTCCCAGAGATGTCTTGCATACTCCCAGGGGTACAGGTACCACAGCTTGGAAACCCTGTACTATAGTATAAAAGTGCTGCTTGAAAGTATGTTTATGGAATACCTGTACTAAAACTTTCAGCAGTTTCAAAAAAGGTAAAATGCATCAATTCTGGATAAGCTAAGTCTATGCAGACCCACAGTACAAACTCAACGTTTTCAAATTTGTTCCTCATTTCCATGTGATCAGGAAGAACAGGATCTGACAGTAAGGAGGAAGGTGGGGGAAGGAGCTGCAGGGGGAAGAAATTGGGGGACCACATGCCTCCCCCAGATTTATTTTCCCTGCTGTAGGAGTGGGAGGTGGACAAATTCAAGGCAAACCTCCAATAATTGGATTCTATACCTGAAAATTATAACAAATTTATACATTTTCCATATACAGAATCTAATTATTGGTTTTCTTATATTCAGGGTCACCTTATAGTCAAGTAAATATGGTAGATGTATGAACTACAACAAATATTTAAGCACTTTGCTGAATATTGGCATAGGTAGGCAACATTTTTCCCCGTCATAGATGATGTAACAATCACAAATATATCATGGAGAATTTTTTAAAGCTCTAACACAGGCAGACGTTTAAATAGGATCTGTACTCACCTGTAGAACTTTTCATTTTCAAGTCTAGTCCAGAAAAAATGGATGGGCAATGGAGGGAAAAAGAGAGATTTTAGTAAACTATTTTTGGTGTCATAAAAATATTTGTAGGTTTTACCTCTGTTAGAATGAACATTTTTTTTTCCAAACACAAGTGTGATTTATATCCAACCTCCAAATCTGAGCTAATATTTGCCACCTTTTAGATTTTGTCTTGCATAAATTGTTAATCTTGAATAACTCTTTAAAACTCATATTTAGCCAGTCAAATCCTACTTTATAACTATTTTCACTAAGTTCAACAATGGGTTGAGCAAGGAACCCTTATGAATAAGGACAGTAAATCTGACTGCTGTTGACTGCTGGGCCTGATTCTCATCTACATGAAGAACTTTTTTTAAACCACATAAGCAATAGATCTGGCATAGAGAACTGAATTTTTGCTTTCCTCAAACTGTCAGGTTTCCCCTAAAATATTTAAATTTTTCCTGGGAAAATTGAGAATGTTTGGTTTTTAGGTGCCAAAACCCAACATATTTCAGCATTTGACTTGTTTATTCAACTACAAGTTGAACTTCTCTGAGAACTTTAAAATTTTTTTCTAAATTTCCTGTTGAAAAAATATTTTCCAGTTCTCATTATAAATTTAATCTAATGCACATATATTCTTACTTATGTTTCTATATTCCTTAATTTAATTTGAAGAAATGTTCATATTGAAGAAATTATTAGCTCAACTCTAACTGGTTTTCATGCTAAATTCAGTCCTGTGTGAAGTGTCACAACATGAATCTACCTACATCTTCTGTTGCACTAACTTGAAAATGCTGGAGAATTCTCATGCTGATCCACTACACAGAAATACATTTCACCTTCTTCTGTTCATAGGGAGGAAAGAGGCTTGAGAGATGGAGAACTCTGAAACAGTTTTAAGGCTTGATCCAGCATACTTTGTGTGTGTTGATCAAATTAAAATTCAGAAACAGACCCAGTGAATACAAACTAAGGAATATCGGTTTGAGCCTAGGATATAAACAGCTGAATATTTAAAGTGTCACTCAATGAAAATTCTAATTTAAAACATACACTGGACTCACTGCCACTAAGTTGTCTTGGAAAAAGATAAAATAAAAGGAGAAGATAAAAGAATGCAGCAGTCATTATCTGACATTGTTCTAAGGGTGCTTGCACACATGATGTGACAAAAAGGGACGAGAAATCATCATTTGCTAAAATAATGGTGTCAGTGTGTGCATGTGCACAATAATTTTTTCATGTTAAAACATATTTGAGTGTGGCAATTTAGATCACCTCAGGTGTATTTTAGTTTGATCAGGGCAAACTGTCCCATAGTGGGAAAAAAAATCGTGCACATGTACATGTCTGGCAGCCAAAGCAGGTGGCAGGGACAGTGCATGGGGTGATGAAAGCCCGGGTGGCTTGTGGAAGCTCGGGCCTGGTGGGCTTCCAGTGCCTTATATAACATCCCCACCACCTTCTCTGGCTCCTAGCACACCCAGCTGCCCTCCTGCCACCTTCCCACACTGCCCCGGGGCAAGCCATCCTGTTCCTGGGTGGTCCCAGATAGCAGGAAGGAGGCAGGGACAATGCATGGGGTGCTGGAAGCCCATCAAGCCCAAGTTTCCCTGGGTATGCCTGGGCTTCCAGCATCCTGTGCACCGTTGAATCAGGCCGCGTGCTGCCTGGGAGCTGAGGCATCATCTGCCTAGCTAGCACCCTGCCCAGGCAGCCCCAGGGGGACATCATTGCCAGAGGGAAGCACTGAGCTCCCCTACAGTTCAGGGACTGTATGACCTAGCAGCATCTTGAGTGGGGAGGCTCTTTCGGGGCGGGGCAGGGGAGGGGGCCAAGTACGATCCTTTTTTTTTAATTTTCTTTGTGGAGCCTGCCACCTCTCCCATAGCTCTCTCCATGGCAGCCCCTGAGCTGCAGGGGACCCTGGACCTTCCCTCCACAGGGGCAGTGCCCCCTAGGGCCGCCTAGACAGGCTGCTAGTGGGAAGATGGCACCCAAGATGCACCATTGCTGCAGAGGGAAGGACCAGGACCCCTTGCAGCTCAGGGCCCCCTTGCTGTGGGAGAGGTGGTCAGGCTCGGGGGTGGGGGGACGGATTTGGCCCCTTGCCACTTTTTTTTTTTCCTGGGCAAAACCTGCCCACAGTGGTGGTGAGCTGACAGCAGGACATCACTGTTCCGTCATAGTGATGGAATCCCTAAATTGAAACTGTGGGTCACAATTAAAAACCCATAAATTAAAAACCCACTGTTTCAATTTTGGGGAATGAAACCCTACTCATGTGTGCAAGCACCCAAAATGTTTAGCCTTCCTGTTCCCATGAAGCCTCAACAACCCGAGTGCTGCTACATACCAGTGTGGCCTAGTTACCAGCTTAGTGAAAGCCGCATCATGAAAACTTACTTCTATGAACCAAACTAAAAAAAAAATGGAGCTATGAAGAACACTCTAAAAGGTCACTGCCTTCACATCATAAGGCAGCAAATTTATTATATGATGTAAGTTTTTTAATTAGTGTTTTTTTTATTATTACCAGCATTGATCTTTCCATGAATCCAGGAGAGCACCTTCCTGAGATCTGTGAAAACACCTGGTGATCCTCTCTGGTCATAGTTTTTCCGCAAGTTATTAATCCAACCACGAGCACAGCCCATGCCCCAGGAAGTCACACCAGCCAGAGTCCAGGCACCATGCTTACGCCGGCACAAAAGAGGACCCCCAGAATCACCCTACAATAAAAGAAACCCATCTTACAGGAAAGCACATTAAATTAATTTCTGTGTGAATAAACAGACATGAGAATAAAATGAAGGTAAGGCATAAGCAGGTTCTACTATGTGGTCACAGTCTGAGAATTAAATTATGAAAAGAAAAACACTCTCGGTAGTTGTATAATGCAGGACATCTGTCCACACACACGTAAACTTCAGCTACAGTAAGACATTGGCATATCTGTAGGTTTCTCTGTTCAGCCAACCTGGCATGCATCCTTTCCTCCATCTGGAAATCCAGCACACATTAAAGTGTCACCTTGGATTGGTTTTCTCAAAGTTAATAATATTCTAGAACATTCCTTGTAATTCAGGATTGGCAAATTCACTTCATGCAAAACTTGAGGAAGGTTTCCATCTGAAAAAGAAAAAGTAAAGAAAAAACAAGTTAGCATTAAGTTGCTAGAGATCCTAGAAGGTAAACTTAAAACTTATCATTAGTGGTGTAAAAAAAAAAAAAAATTATTTCTGCTAATATTTTGAATGTTGTTATAGGCCATTGAAATACCCAGAAACTTTCTTTGAAAAATAACTCTTTGAATATCCAACCTTTAGTTGCATAAAATTTCAGATGTCTTGCTTTGTAGTATAGGCCCATAGCAACCAATGACATCTCTACAGGGACTAGGTCTGCCCATTCAGATGCACTTGGAGGATTGAGGCCCTATCAAAATGCGGTTTTAAAAAAACATGCAAAATCCAACATCTTAAAGCAAAAATCAGACCATGGCTGAAAAAGAAATGGAACTACACTTAAGCAATTTCCTCCCATCAAAAGGCAAAACATTCTGTGAATTGGACCAGATTGCAACTATAAAATAAAAAACTCGTAAGTTTTTTATGTGTTGTTCAGAATATTTATTATAAACCTACATTTACATAGAAACACCACAGTTATCCCTGAAGGTTTTATAGTATCCCTACAAGAGCTATACATCACGAATACAAATCTCTTCACATTGCTTTAGATATTAATGATACCAAGGGCAGATCCAGAGGGGATGCACTGGTGCACTCTGATACCTGCTCCACCCAAAGTTTAAAACCAATTGCCTGGCAGTGGCAGAAGCATTTATAGTCAGGCAGTGCTGAGGAAGTCAATTTTCTCCCTCGTGGCTCATTATAATCTACTTGATCCCTTGTAAACTCTACATTCCAGAGGTGCTAACGACCCTCTCCTCTTTTTGATAGGCTTGATGTTTCACCAGTCAAGCTATCCTTTGTTCTGTAATTCTACTGTCTATTGTATCCTACTGGTAATGGGAGCTATTTCACAGCCCTGAGGATTGTCTTTAACTCATTCCAATGAAATTATATTTGTTTTCATTTCCTTCTTAAACGGAATAATACAGCCCTAGGCCCCTAGTATATTAGTAAAGCTTCTTGTTGATTTTTAACTGGAGAAAAATAGGTGGTGTTTTCTATGTGATGATGCAGCTCACCATCTGCACCCCCCTTTTCAAATTTCTAGATCTGCTCATAAATGACATGGCAGGAAATAAGTACCCTGAGCCCTCATAACTACGTGTCTGAAGAACAGTTAAGCTTTAAAAATATGAATTTATAGTCGTTTTGGATAGTAATTTGAGACCTTTCAGCAAAATCAGCTGCCCAATACGGCCACACATGGCAGAGTAAGGGAAATAAGGTACCCCCTTCCTATTTACCACAAGGAGGCGGGGGGAAATCAACCACCCTGCATGGAATCAACTCCACTTTTACAGGGGAACTCTTCCTCAGGACTCCCCAGGAAGCAGCCATATTTGGTCTGTCTCTCTCCCTACCATGGCTTCACGAGGGGTAAGCCTCTAGCTCTGAAACCCTGGCTTCCTTGGTGATCTGTAGCACCTCCACCTCTGAGAGCTCCTTCTTTCTGGTCAGCTCCCAGGTTTTCTTCTTTTAAAGAGAAGGGCTATCTGAGTACCAATGTCCCAAACAGCACAGCAAACTCTGCACAAAACAAACAGTCTTTACAGTGCTGTTCCATTCCCTCTGTTCTTCCTTGGACTCCACTTTGACTGTCCTGGGACTTTTCTGTCTGTCCTAGGACCTTTTCTATATTCTCCCTGTCCTCCCTGGGACTCCCCTTTCTCCCCCCTTTCTCCTCAGCCCCAGTTAGCCATCCTTGCAACAAAACATTTCTAAAACTATAATATTCACCTGAGGACAATGCTCACCCAATACAATTAAACAAAGTCATGGAGAACCAAATCTGGGAGTTGTCTCTTGGCCCTATTGCCAGGCTCAAACCACTCTCTCTCCCCGGGGTGAAAAGGGCATCTAGATGCCCTGTTTATAAAGCTATTTACAATAATTATTTTCAGCAAAGCCTGCTCGTTGGGGGGGGGGGGGGGGGGGGGGCTTTTAAT